CGATTGAGACCTTATTTAGATTGGAGAGTAAGTCGAGACCTCATATTATATCTCTATTATAAGCTATAATTAGTGCAAAAATCGATGTATTAATTGATTTTGAGATCTATATATAACATTATTTAATCAAAGGGTTTATAAATGTTTTGTTTTTCGTTATGAGAGGTTTTGTGTAATTCCTAGAATCGCTATAATTAGTAACCGATTTATATTATAAGGAATATTGCAAAAGAATTTATTTTCTTGAGATTTCTAATTTCCTGAATATTTGTAACATTAGTTACAATGTGTTTAAATTCATAAGAATTAAAAGAATAAAGTATATTCTGAAGAAAACATATATAAAAAATAAATGGCATATTTTGCAAATATTTTGTAATGAAACATCATGTGATTTGTTTGTAATTTATATCATTTGATATTAAAACCAACATTAAGTCTACTGAGAATTGTCTAAAATAGTATTTTGATTTTTATCTTACAATTTAATTAATATTTTGGTTTTGTTATAATTAAATGAATTCTATTTAAAGTATATTTTTGTTGAACGGAAGCCAGACATTCAATATTTACGATATGATTAACACTATATTTAATACAATATGACATATCATTAGTATTTATAATGATTTTTGAAATAAACAAAGACTTCACAGGAATATTCAAATTCTAACTTTTATTTATGTTTAAATAAATTAGAAAATTCTAATTTAAATGTTTTTATTACATTTATATACAAATATATTTATAAATAAATTCTATATAATACTTTAAATAACTAATATTTATAAAAATTATAATAAATTTCAATGTTTGAAAGTTTTTTATAAATAAAAAATAGCTATTATTTTAAACAAAAGTTGGAAGTATTTTCTTTAATGAATATTTATTTATAATTTAATTAAATGGCCTAGAATCTAGATCATATTTGTTAAAGGTCATTACTTCGGTCGTTATGAAAAACATACAAATGTGCAAAACAAAAAATTAGTTATAAACCATCAATTGCAATTTATAGCAAATTACCAGTTGTTACAAAAATTATACTGACGTAACAGTGAATCAGTGATCCAATAAAACTTTTTTGTTTTTTAGTTTACATTTTATTAAATGTCAAACTGAAGTTTAATTAAATTTATAATTATATAAACATTTTTAATTAATGTGAAAATAATGAAAAATATATAACAAATAAAGAATGTAATTAAATGTTGTAATAGTCGGAAGAGGAGCCGTCATTCCCTCGGGTGAGCTCTCAGGCGCCGCTCTCTCCGAAAATGTCGGGACTGGAAGAGGACGACGATATCGAGGAAGAGGAGGCGCTGGAGAGGGGGAACTGGACGGGAAGGTTCGACTTCTTACTATCACTGCTCGGATATTCTGTTGGCTTAGGAAATGTTTGGCGGTTTGTGTTCAAGTTTTTTGATTTAAATTCAATTTTCTAATCCTCTTATTTAAACAAAAACAACAGATTTCCTTATCTCTGTTATAACAACGGCGGCGGTATGTCTTGAACTCAATATTACACAACACAACTCAATATCCTATTTACACGAATCTAATACTGAATGCATTTGGCATTTATAACGTTTTCTGTGCTAAATGTGTGGCTTTTTGAATGCATTTCAGGCGCATTCCTGATCCCATTCATAGCGATGATGCTTTTGGCCGGTTTCCCATTGATGTTCATGGAGTTGGCGTTCGGCCAATACGCCAGCCTT